TAAAAACTGTTACAGTACATGGAAACGGAGCAGAAATACATGTTCAAGGCAAGTGAAAAGAGCTTTCTGGTGGTAAAGTGTGTGTGTAGACAAGAGCAAGTTCCTCCTAATTAGGACTGGACTCTGGAGGCCTTCAATAGCAGCTTCCCTCAGCAACCAGTGCATTCATTGTTGTGAGGACAACCTGCTTCATGGGAACCAATGAAGAACATAAACACCCACTGGCATGTACAGTAGTATGTCCGAACCAAGTACATAAAGTGCTGTGAATATCTGTGGGACACTGCGGGTCATTCAGACATGAGCCATGGGAACATATTTACAACACAAAGACACGCATTACAGAAAGAGTCTTGAAAAATACCTTGTGGAGAAAATGTACCCAGTTTTTCCTCTGTATTTTTTATTATTTTTTATTATTAATACCAGGCTAGGGATGTTCCTTATAAAATGTGACCTATTGTTAACTATACTCTTCTTTACTCGCCAATTTTGACCATTTTCTTTTTGGTGCTTGTGGGTGTTAATGTTGGTCCCGACCGTCAAGCCCTTTTCCTTAAGGTATACGGGACCAACAGCAGTTATAAACACATTTTTTCCACATACGGACTCCAGCAGGCAAAATACTCATACTGACTCATTTCTTTTTTCTTGCTGAGGCAAAGCGAGGCAGCTGTACGTTCTTACCCTCATGTAACGTATCCCACATCAGCCATGCGCCATATGCAAATTGTATTTATTAGCACATTACCACATATACACTTCTGTTTAAACAGGCTGTAAATATCAAACTCATAGGCCACATGCAGGGCCAATGTGAAATGTTTTGTAGAGCACTTTGGCTTCTCATCATTGAATTTCATGCAAAAGCTTGTGTTTAGAGGAATGCCAGGGTTTGTTACTGTCAAGACTATTTGGTCGCAAACTTTACGAGAATAATCTTGGCGAATCTCTATGAAAATGACAATCTTTTCCCAATTATCAGATGCAGCATGATGTTTCTGTGCTTAAAGGCTTTGCACAGGCCTGGTTTTACATTTATTTTGTGCTCGGTCTCCATTACTTTTCAAGTTCGGGAACACAAGTTTCGGAGGTATGCAACACGAGCCCTTTTGATTACAGCTGACCACTGTATTTTTTCCAGCTGCATGCTGGTTACAATATGAAGTTAATGTTCTGGTTTGATCATAGAGTATAAGAGAGAAGAGCTTTTGCAAGCCATGTTCATGTTGAAGAGGGTTACTATGGAAGCCTGTGTCCGCCTCAGAGTAAAAAAAGAAAAATAGGCTGTTGCGAGAAGAAAGAAATACACTTTGTGCCACACATAAAGCCACAAGAGATAATAAAGTCACAATTACGAGAAATAAAGTAGTGATTTTGAGATGTAGTCGCTTGAGTTAAGTCAAATTTTTAGATAAAAATCCACAAAGAGATATAAAGTAACAATTATGAGAAACAAATTCAGAATTTTGAGACATGAAGCAACATTGCGAGATATAAAGTTTGGAGGTATAATATCACGGTTTGGAGGTATTAGATTGCAATTGCGATGAGACATTTTAAGATAAAATTCTGAATTTGTTTTTCATAACTATGACTAAATCTCAGATTGTGAATTTAAGACATGAGGCTACATTGCGAGATATAAAGTCACAGTTTGGAGGTATAAGATTGCAATTGTGAGAACGTGTGGTTGAGAGACTTGTCATTATGAGATAAGTACAATTTTGAGATATAAACTCAAATAGTGGGGTTAAAAAGACATAATTGTGAGATATTAAGCTACATTGCGAGACAAAGTGATAGTTTTGAGGTATAAAATTGCAACTACGAGAAATAAAGAAGCGATTGAGAGAATAAGTCATTATGAGATAAGTCAAATTTTAAGATAAAATTCTGAATTTGTTTTTCATAATTATGACTCTCACATTGTGAATTTAAGACATGAAGCTACATTGTGAGATATAAAGACAGTTTGGCGTTATAAGACTGCAATTGTGAGAAATAGCAGCGATAGAGGGATATAATCATTATGAGATGAATCAAATTTTGAGATATCGGCAGGTTACGATTATGAGAAATACATTAAGAATTGAGATATAAAGCTACAATGGGAGACATAAAGAAAGTTTTGAGGTATAAAATAGCAATTTGGAGAAATAAAGTAACCATTGAGCGATGTAGTCATAATGAGACGAGTCCAATTTTGAGATAAAGCCACAATTATAACCATTCATTTAAAAATTCACAGTTAGGAGGTATAAGATTGCAATTGTGAGAAATAAAGTCACAGTTGTGAAATATAATTAATTTTTTTTTAATCTTCTATAGGTTTTAGAACATGGATAAAAGCATAACGGATAAAAAAAAATCTTGTATAAACTTTATTTCCAGATTTAAGTGAATATAAAAAAAAAGTTCAGTGCAAAACATGATGTGTAGCTCCTTAGTCATCTGGATTCAATCAGTCCATTTTGTAAAGGGAGAAATAAAAAAGCAGTTGGTTCTCATGTCCCTCGAGCACTGTCTGTCTGAGGAAAAAGCCAGTGCCAGTATGTCTCAGACGGGTTTTTTGGGGGGTCTTTTTTGTGGTTGGGCACTGTAGATGGTTGTGGTTTATGAAAAGACTTGGTGACTTCACCACATTGTTGCTCTTGGGTTAGATCGACAAGTTTCACTGCCATCTCACTGGAAGAGGAAATGCAGATCTTCCCCATGTCCCGTAAGCTACATCATCCCTTTTATTTTATCTGACAGACTCCGACAAACCCACGAAAAGGAGGTGCCATCCATTAAAAATATTGGCATTTGAGAAAAGCCCTTCAGATGATGAATTGACATCATTGTTTTCTTTGTCCTAACTTTCTCTATGAACAAAACGTGTCAGCCTTAATTCAAGAAAATTATTAAAAAAAATAAACAGGCAGGGCGGTGCACGTTCAGGGCTGATTTCATTTACGAGGCCCCCTTTGGGTACACAATCACACTTGTAACCATAAGAGGAATTTGACCAAGATTAGCAAGGTATTTTAATGTAATACACATGTCATTTTCAAATCGAGAGAGGAGGAAAAGCAAGATAAAAATGAAGCATTCCAATAATCCAGTAAATTATTCAAAATATTGCTACAAAAACCTTATGGCTTACGACATGTAACTTACCATGCTATCCAACCCAAACCAGCAAATTAGATTACAAATATTCAAGGGTCTATTTAAGAGTCTATAGAAACCCTGTAATTCTATTATCAACAGTTGTTTTGTGGTTGGGTGAAACTACTCCTCTGGGTAAAATCTTTACAGCAATTTTCATGCATGAATGTTAACAGTTAAGTGATACAACTATTAAAAGTACAGCAATATACAAAAACTTTTAATTATAATCATCAATAATTATAATATACTATTTAAAGTCCCCCTGCAGTCAATAATTTTATACCTTAAAAACTCATCTTTATAATCAAAATGACATATTTAAAAGTTTTTTTCCAGTGAAAATAATTTCTTCTTGTCTTAAAATAGCTCAGACTGCATGATCCACTTGGTCAACTGCAGCAAACGCTACACAATAGCAAGTGGAAATATTGGTTTAATTCAGCAATATATGTTTGAACCAGAAACTGATTCAGAAATCGATGAACAGAATGGCAATGCATTTTATGTATCGTTCTCTACATCGTCGTAAACATAACTGTCATTTTTTATGATTAGCCTTTGGCTTGACTGTTATCAAACAGCTAATAATGCGATGCTGATGTTACACAAAACATGTTCATGTTCGCCATCTCAGATTCAGACAGCTGATTTATAAAAAATAGGCATCCTTAGAAACACTTTGAACATCATAGAAAGTCAGTGGAGAAAAGCCCCGCACATTGAAGGGATTGGTTACATGTTTGTGACAGTATACATATAATGGGCGGTTTTGAGACTGTTTACCGTTTTAGGGGAAAATACCAAGCAATGGTGTTACCTTATACATTTGCACATTGTTCGTCTTAAAGCACATTACAAACACCACATAGACATATAAACAATATTAAAAACTTGATTTTGACTTTATATCTACTACAGTATGTGTGTATTTGTGAAGAAATGGACAACTTTTTGCATTTGAGATGACTGTCTAAAAGTGTCCCAGTATATCATAATTTTGCATGGAAGAATGGCCAAAAATATGAATGAGATGTAAAAGACTGTAAAGGAACATGTTAAGAAACCTACCAAAAGGGGCAATATCAGCAACGTAATGTGGGAGATGAACTCAAAAGTTTAAGAGGGAACGCAAAGTTTCTTGGGTGAGCGCAAAAGTTTTGCGAGGGAAAGCAAAGTTTCTCGGGGGAATGCAATAGTTTGAAAGCAAAGTTTTTTGGGGAACGCAATAGTTTTGCGAGGGAAAGCAAAGTTTCTCGGGGAATGCAATAGTTTTGCGAGGGAATGCAAAGTTTTTCGGGGGAATGCAATAGTTTTGCAAGGGAAAGCAAAGTTTCTCGGGGAATGCAATAGCTTTGCGAGGTAATGCAAAGTTTTTCGGGGAAAGCAAAAGTTTTACGAGGGAAGGCAAAGTTTCTCGGGGGAATGCAAAAGTTTTGTGAGACAACGCAAAAGCGTTGAAATATATTTTTTTCTCCCAACTCATATTTTTTCCATCACCATGTCCCTTTAGGCAAACTTTAAGCCAGGTAAAATGACTAAAACTGAAAAAAGAAAGAAAGCTAAATAGAAAGTATATATATATATATATATATATATATATATACTGTATATACAAATGACACAGCAATATTTATATATATAAATGCCAATTCTAATGATATTAATGAATACTATAATAATATACAGCATAAATAATACTTAAATAAACACTGCTGCTAGATTACGGTTACATAATCAAGTCCTGTATGCATGAATTACTTGAGTTAATTGGATGCAGAACAGAGAATCATTGTGCAGTGGAATCTAGAGCACGGCTGCTCACTGACCCTCGCTTGTCTGTCACTCAACCATGTCTTTGATTATCCTTGCCAAATTACCCTTATGATGTACTCATTTTTTCAACATAGATGTGATTTTTCATATTTCATTTCTCTTCAGGTTGTGGCATGTGTGTTGATTGATCTATGAGGGTATTTGGGGATGGCGCTGATTGGCTTTGTGGCGGTGGCAGTGTGTGGGTCTCTGGTTGCTTGGGCCGATCAGTTGAAGCAGGCCCGAATGCCTTTGTTACACCATCGTCCGTTTGTGGTGGTGTGGAACGCACCCACCGAATCCTGTCGTCTTCGATTCAAGGTTGAACATGTGTCAATGATCTAGCAAATGTTCTGTGTCGTCCAAATGATGGGAATAACATCTTGTCTGTTTCTTTTTCTAGGTGGATTTGGACCTTAGTGTCTTCGACATCGTTGCAAACCACAACGAGACTTTGAGCGGCCCCAGCGTAACTATCTTTTACCACAGTCACCTGGGTTACTACCCTTACTACACCAGCTCTGAGATTCCCATCAATGGAGGCCTTCCTCAGAACCAAAGCCTGAGCAAACACCTCAGCAAAGCTCGAGCTGACATCGACAAGCTCATTCCCTTCAAGGACTTTCACGGGCTTGGTGTCATCGACTGGGAAAACTGGCGTCCGCAGTGGGTGCGCAATTGGGGCTCGAAGGACATCTACCGAAACAAATCCAAGGAACTTATAAGGAAGCTGCATCCTGGTTGGCCACAAAGTAAGGTGGAGAATGAAGCAAAGGAACTCTTTGAGAGGGCCGGACAAGTATTCATGAACTCAACGCTCTTGCTGGCCGAGAGTCGACGACCGCATGGTCTTTGGGGGTATTACCTCTTCCCTGACTGTTACAACTATGGTTATAAGCAGCATCCGTTGCGTTACACAGGAGAGTGTCCTAATATAGAGCATGTACGCAATGACCACCTGATGTGGCTGTGGAAGGAGAGCACGGCCCTCTATCCTTCCATCTATCTCGACTATGAGCTCAAGTCTTCGGCCAACACGGTAAAATTTGTGCACTACCGTGTCAAGGAGGCCATGCGGATCGCCTCGATTGCCAGGAATGACTATACGCTGCCAGTTTTCGTCTACTCCAGACCTTTCTACGCCTACACATTTGTTGTCCTATCAGAGGTGAGTGGAATATTAGGTAAAAAGTTCATAATTAAGTCCGAATCATGGCATAGCAGTTAGAAAATGTTCTCTGATATGCTGAAATGTGATGCTCATGCTGGAAAAACTAATTTAAGGACATTTGTATGCCTATAAATATATATATTTTTTTGAAAGATGTAAAATAAAATAAAAATATTTACTCTTTTCCCGCCATTTATGTAATTTTCCATCATTTCTGAGACAACACTTCCCCACCAGACGGAGATTTTAGGGGCGCTATTACACGTCTTCTGAAAGAAAAATATTCTTTGTTGTTGTTTTAAAGCAGAGGGTCTGTTCTATCTTTTGATATACACTGTATATTCAGATATTCATACAACAACATTCTGCGGGCCATGAAACTTTAGTGAAAATTATCTTAAAAAATGCTGGCGCTGGCTGGGAACTTTTTTGCAAAAATGCTGGCAGGGAAAGAGTCAAAAATAAAGTTTGTAATATCTACACTAGGCCTACTACTGTCGACAAATCAAACAGGATACTTTAAACACTCCCCTTATTTGTCATTGGTCAGTTAAACAGATAGCCCCGCCTCCCCCACACGCCATTGGTTAAACCAGTGTTGCTATGCTGGGGTGCGTTTCCCGAAAGCATCGTTAGCCAACTATGGTCGCATGTTCCGTCGTTACCAATAGAGTTCAATGGGATTTGCGACCAACTTGCGACCATGGTTGGCTAACGATGCTTTCGGGAAACGCACCCCTGGTCAGGATTCTCAAACAAACAGCAAAGTTTTGAAAACACCATGGAGCCACAATGTTTATAGCCTAGTTTTTAGGTAAATCAACTTACGAATGACTAAAGGCCGATTCAAACCAAGGACGAGAACTATAACGATATATCTAACTAGAATACTGAACTCCACACCACAACCACACCGGTAACATCACAGAGGAATGATATCATTCTGAAATTACTTTCAGAATGATTTTTTCCAGCTGATGAATGATAAAAACCTTGTTGCCAGCCAATCAGAATCCATCCAACTCAAGCTTGAGCATTTAAACTGGCAGATAACACAAATAATAAACACAGCATTCTTGTCTATTGGTGTGAATATATTAATATAATGGTGGTTGTTGAGGAGATTCCCCTTTCCATATAAAGCGCTTTGAGTACCTAGAAAAGCACTATATAAATGTAACAAATTATTATTATAGTTACCGTTATAGTTCTTGATGTGAACAGGCATTTAAACTCTATGAGTCAGTATATTTAGTTAATTAAGTATATGCATTTAAAATATTTTTTATAATATTACAGCACTGAATTGTGTTTGCGCACTGAATACTTTACGCACTTTCCAGACGTCTAAAGGGACCTGTCAAACGCACATTGTTTTAATCACTCGTCGAATACTTGAGTGACAGACCCACTCCCTAAATCACCCTCCTCCCTGGCATCTTAAACGCCAGAGATATGCTTAAACACTCATCTGTCACCTCATTATGAGAGGAATGTTCCAAATCAAACTCTGCAGTAGGTCTGCAGGCGTGTTTTCAGTTTGACGGGACCACCCGCCTTTCTAGACAGTGAGGTACACGTACATCAAGGTAATGTACTTATTATGACTAGTTTAGGTTACAACCGATAGCTTCCATATGTTCATTGTGATAGTACAGGCTCCAGACCATACATTACACGTACAGGTCTACTGTTTTGTTTTACTTACCACCAGGCAAAAATTAAATGTGCGATTACACACCTCTCCTCGATAAGCCGCATTATTTAACAGTATCATTCATGTCGGAGTTACAAACCCTATATGAGCAATGGTAATAGGGATGTTTGTGTTATTCAATAGTAACACATTTCTTCTCCAGGCCTGTAACTAAAAAAGCTATGATATGATCTGTTGCTTTTCTGCTTTGAATCGCATTAACATAAAAATATTTATCTTGAACAGAGTGACCTGGTCCACACCATAGGAGAGAGTGCAGCACTGGGGGCCGCTGGGGTGGTCCTGTGGGGGTCATCTGAATATGCAAGATCTCAGGTACGCATTATATCGTTCTAAAGTTTGACTGAACGCTAGTGTACAGAGCACGTTAACAAAATGAATCCAACAATAAATCCTCTTGACTGGATTGGATGCATTTTTAGGTGAAACAGCTAATATTAGAATTCATAACCAACAGCATTTAGAACCACATGGGGATCAGCTTGAGCTGATGGCATTAACATATTTAATATGGTTGAAGCTTAGGGAACAATCTGTCCTCAGTTTATCTCTTAAAAGGGACACCTCAAATATGATTTCTGTCTAAACCTAAAATAAAGCAATATTAGCGTAATCATAGCTTGTCTGTATCTGATTTATACAGTATCACACATGTGCTCCTGAAGGACACATGCTCATTTTGTGGGTGCGTCTCATATCCTGTTTACAAAAATGAGGAAGAGAATACATTGAAGCTGGTGGAAAGAGTTAACAAACTGTTAATGTGTTTCTATGTTGTGTGACATAATGGTAATTTTGTTTATTTGTCTTAAAGCTTAAACATTTTAACTGACTTGGGGGAAATTTTTTGACGAGTTGTATCATGTACAGTGATCAGAAACCGAAACACTTTGTCATACACACACTACCGGTCAAAAGTTTTACATCAGTAAGTTTTTAAATGTTTTTTAAAAGAAGATTCTTCTGCTCACCAAGGCTCATATTTTTACACTTTCAAAGAATTGTTTTCTATTAGAATATATTTTAAAATATAATTTATTCCTGTGATGCAAAGCTGAATTTTCAGCATCATTACTTCTCCAGTCTTCAGTGTCACATGATCCTTCAGAAATCATGGCTGATTTGCTGCTCAAGAAACATTTCTTATTATTATCAATTTAGGAAACAGTTGTGTACTATTTTTTTCAGGATTCTTTGATGAATAGAAAGTTTAAAAGAACAGCATTTATGCGAGAGAAAGCTTTTGTAGAAAAATCACATATATATACATACACACAAATCAGCTAGTTGCCAAGAAAAAAAAAAATTAGTTTAGCTTGATGTACTAAACTGAAGCCAAAACAAAAATGAATAAAAACTATATAGACATTTAAAAAAAATAGAAACTAATAAAAAAAAAAAAAAACAATTACTACTGTCAAACTTTTTAAAATTACTAAACTGAAAATGGAAAATATAAAAACGAATTAAATATATTATTCATGAAAACAAGTTTTTCATCTAATATTTATATTTTATTTCAGCTTTATTTTAATTCATGAAAATGATTTTTAATAGTTTTACTTCAAAATAACATCACTGATATTGACCAATATTACTTAAAAAAAAAAGCCCTAATATCTTTATGTGTTTGTCTTGGCCAGAGAAACTGCATGACAGTCAAGAAATACATTGACGGTCCTCTGGGTCACTATGTGATCAACGTGACCTCAGCCGCTAAACTGTGCAGCAAAGCCTTGTGCAAGAAGAACGGCAAATGTGTCCGCAAGAGCCTGGACTCTGGGGCTTACCTGCACCTCAACCCTCGCTTCTTCAACATCCGCCTCAACCGAGGCATTCGTGGGCCGCGTTTCCACGTCAGCGGCCAGCTCAACAACCACGACATCCTGGACATGAAGCAAAAGTTCACCTGTCAGTGTTACCAGGGCTGGACGGGCATCTACTGTGAGATGCCCCAGAAAGCACAGCCTCTCCCACCCCACCCGAGAGACAGTATCCTGGGGGAACTACTGCTGGTCCTGTCCCTTCATTTCTCCTGTCTGTCTGTCATCATGTTCTTAGGTCTGTGTCTCATTATTAAGTGTCTGATACTGTAAAGCACCGTGTAGATGGTTAACACCTTTTTCTTTAACAGAAACCGTCTAAATTAAATTTAGAGTAGGTGAAGCTGAAGATATCTAGCTGTAAGGTTTTGAGTGAAAAGTTTTTCACCACAATAACAGACAGGCGTGCAATTCATTCAAGAACATCATGCGAATTTACTGCAACAATGGCGCCACGAACTTCACATACTATTGAAAATCCAGCGGTCATGGATTGTCTCACTCATTGTCACGGTTGTAAACATGACGGCTTTCATCTTCCATGAGGGGGTTTGACTCTTGTTTCCAGGCGGACCGTTAAAGAACGTGACACACATGTCTCCTGGAAATCCTGGAGAATACAATCAATCAGATGCCGACTTCAAAACTCCCGAAGTGTTTCCTGTTTTCTGTGCCATATATTCATCAAACGTTTAGCCAATGGTTTATGGGCTTGATATCTGAGGCTAATGCCGCGTTCCAGGCAACCTGTAACCCGTGTTTTTCCAACCTTATACCTGTGAAAGTGCACTGGAACGGCAGTCAAACCCGTGACTTCCCACCCGTGAACTCGTACTAGATCGATGTACTCCCAGTTACGAGTTCTGACGTCACATAGCCCGCAAAACCATACAAAACAACAATGGCAGCCCCTACGGATGCAGTGTTTCTGCAGGCGGTACACAGCGAGAATACACTTTAGGACAATATAACGTTGCAGTCAAATTAATATTAATATAATAATAATGATAATGATAAACACACGATTATGTATTACAATATTATGAGTCTGAAACAATATACACACACGATTATGTAATACAATGTTATGTGTCTGAAAAAATAAGTATGTATATTGCGCTCAGGTAGTTTGGCGTGACTGGCCTGGAACGCTACAAAGTCGTGAGTCGTGGTTTGAAGTCGTGATTTACGTGCTCAAAAACCTGCCTGGAACGCAGCATAAGACTACACAAAAACTGGTATACCTAAAATAAAGAATCGATCTGATCAGACATTCACGAACAAAGGACTTTTGTAAATCAAATCTTTTTAGTGATTCAAAAGCACAAAATAGCGAGAGTAAGTCACTCTTTTGAACTGGTTCTTCTTAGTGAATCAAAAACATGTGCTGTGTCCCAAATCACATACTATCCACCCTAAATTGTTTTCGAAATTAGAATTAGTGTATCCCAAATCATAGTATGTTGAAATGAGTATTCCCACCCGGATGGTCTACTTTTCCTGATTAGAATCCGAAGTGCAGATCCGTGCACACTCTAATGGCTAACATTGCCCACAACCCATAGTGCGTTGGATGAGGATTCGATTAGAACTACAAACACAAGTAGAAAGTGTAAAAAACTACAAACATGGCGGATGTGCGAGGCAACAGAGAGAGATTCAGATAAAGGGGTTTGAGTGATTTAATAATAGTTTTTAACCTGACAAAAAGGCATTTATTCAATGTTATCCACATATTTCATCTGCATTGTCAAGATATGTTTGGTCATTTACTTTTGAAAACATGAGGAGAGTAACTACTTACAAGAGAATTATGAAATAGGTTCAAATGAACTAGAATCTAATCAAATCACATTTAAATCAGAAGCTAATTAAATTGGGAATTTTTTGATCGATGCCCAGCCTATTCAAACACTCCCATACAGTATGGCACATTGACCGTGTTTTGTACCCAGTTAAAACCAGTTTTGATTTTTAGTGAATCAAAAACAAAGCACAACCAGTGTAGATCAATTCATGAACAAAATAATGGCTCTTTTGAGTCAAACCTTTTCATTAATAATTTAATTATCAATAAATATGCTCAAGAATTATCAGTGGATATGCTAAAATTAATAGGAATCTAATCAAATACAATTTAAATCAGAATCTGAATTTAATTGAATCAAGAAATCAGTATCAGTACTCGGCCTATTGAAAACCCCATTAAACCCCCTGTCCACCAGGGTGTGCAAAATTCAGAATTTCAGAATTGGCCTCCATTCAATTCATGAATTGGAATTTGAATTGAATTGACTCCGCCCCACAGGAAGTTGAATTTGAATTGGAATGACAGGAAGTGGAATTAAATTCATGGCAATTCAAAGAAATTCCACAACAGAAAGAATCTGTTGAATCTCACACACACTCAGTGTTAGGAAGGTTACTTTGGAAATGTAATTGCTTACCGTTATAAGTTAGCCATTATAAATGTGGTTTGGATCACTTTATTTGGATTACTTTATCAATGTAGAGCAATTTCTTTTCATTTGATTAGTAACTAATTGAATTACACATTTTACCTCAGTTATAACTAAATACAATTACATTAATTTAGTAATTTAATAACATAATTTCATGCACGCAACTAGTCCCTCCTCAACCCTGCATACATTTTGTTCTAATATATACACTCACCGGCCACTTTATTAGGTACCCCATGCTAGTAACGGGTTGGACCCCCTTTTGCCTTCAGAACTGCCTCAATTCTTCGTGGCATAGATTCAACAAGGTGCTGGAAGCATTCCTCAGGGAGTTTGGTCCATATTGACATGATGGCATCACACAGTTGCCGCAGATTTGTCGGCTGCACATCCATGATGCGAATCTCCCGTTCCACCACATCCCAAAGATGCTCTATTGGGTTGAGATCTGGTGACTGTGGAGGCCATTTTAGTACAGTGAACTCATTGTCATGTTCAAGAAACCAATTTGAAATGATTAGAGCTTTGTGACATGGTGGAAGTAGCCATCAGAGGATGGGTACATGGTGGCCATAAAGGGATGGACATGGTCAGAAACAATGCTCAGGTAGGCCGTGGCATTTAAACGATGCCCAATTGGCACTAAGGGGCCTAAAGTGTGCCAGGAAAACATCCCCCACACCATTACACCACCACCACCAGCCTGCACAGTGGTAACAAGGCATGATGGTTCCATGTTCTCATTCTGTTTACGCCAAATTCTGACTCTAACATCTGAATGTCTCAACAGAAATCGAGACTCATCAGACCAGGCAACATTTTTCCAGTCTTCAACTGTTCAATTTTGGTGAGCTCTTGCAAATTGTAGCCTCTTTTTCCTATTTGTAGTGGAGATGAGTGGTACCCGGTGGAGTCTTCTGCTGTTGTAGCCCATCCGCCTCAAGGTTGTGCGTGTTGTGGCTTCACAAATGCTTTGCTGCATACCTCGGTTGTAACGAGTGGTTATTTCAGTCACTGTTGCCCTTCTATCAGCTCGAACCAGTCTGGCCATTCTCCTCTGACCTCTGGCATCAACAAGGCATTTCCGCCCACAGAACTGCCGCTCACTGGATGTTTTTTCTTTTTCGGACCATTCTCTGTAAACCCTAGAGATGGTTGTGCGTGAAAATCCCAGTAGATTAGCAGTTTCTGAAATACTCAGACCAGCCCTTCTGGCACCAACAATCATGCCACGTTCAAAGTCACTCAAATCACCTTTCTTCCCCATACTGATGCTCGGTTTGAACTGCAGGAGATTGTCTTGACCATGTCTACATGCCTAAATGCACTGAGTTGCCGCCATGTGATTGGCTGCTTAGAAATTAAGTGTTAACGAGCAGTTGGACAGGTGTACCTAATAAAGTGGCCGGTGAGTGTATATATATATATATATATATATATATATATATATATATATATATATATATATATATATATATATATATATAAACAAATGTCCAACTCAAATTTTTTTCTCTCTAAAGATTTACTAAAGTAATTCTGGGAAATGGAGTCATGTTCCATCTGTTCCACAAAATTACAATAAATCAAAGTTTTACAATAAATCAAAATTATTTGTTCTGTAGAGCTAGAGCATTCATTCCTGGGGAAAAACATTTCCTGTAAATGTAATCTGTACAAGTAGTTCAAACTAATATCATTTATAGAATATGTAATGCAATCATATCTGACATTTACTGTAACGCTTCATTGTTAAGCACTTCACTTAATATATGTATATGAATTTCTTTGAATTTTTATTGATTTACAATTCTGCATCCTTTAATTCAAATTCGAATTGTAATTCTAGATCCTACTTTTGACATCAATTCAAATTCAATTCAAATTCAAGAATTTAATTGGAATTCAGGAGTCATTCTCAATTCAATTCTGAATTGTGCACAAGCCTGCTGTCCACACACTCAATCAAACAGACTCCAACCTCTCCACAATGGCCAAGACCAGAGAGCTGTGCAAGGACATCAGATAAAATTTTAGACTTGCACAAGGCTGGGATAGGCTACAGGACAATAGGCAAGCAGATTGATGAGAAGGCAACAACAGTTGGCGCAATCATTAGAAAATGGAAGTTCAAGATGATGGTCAATCTCCCTCGGTCTGGGGCTCCATGCAAGATCTCACCTCGTGGGGCATCAATGATCATGAGGAAGGTGAGGGATCAGCCCAGAACTACACGGCAGGACCTGGTCAATGACCTGAAGAGAGGTGGGACCACGGTCTCAAAGAAAACCATTAGTAACACACTACGCCGTCATGGATTAAAATCCTGCTGCGCACGCAAGGTCCCCCTGCTCAAGCCAGCGCATGTCCAGGCCCGTCTGAAGTTTGCCAATGACCATCTGGATGATCCAGAGGAGGAATGGGAGAAGGTCATGTGATCTGATGAGACACAAATAGAGCTTTTTGGTCTAAACTCCACTCGCAGTGTTTGGAGGAAGAAGGAGGATGAGTACAACCCCAAGAACACCATCCCAACTGTGAATCATGGAGGTGGAAACATCATTCTTTGGGGATGCTTTTCTGCAAAGGGGACAGGACGACTGCACCATATTGAGGGGAGGATGGATAGGGCCATGTATCGCGAGATCTTGCCCAACAACCTCCTTCCCTCAGTAAGAGCATTGAAGATGGGTCGTGGCTGGGTCTTCCAGCATGACAACGACCCGAAACACGCAGCCAGGGCAACTAAGGAGTGACTCCGTAAGAAGCATCTCAAGCTCCTGGAGTGGCCTAGCCAGTCTCCAGACCTAAACCCAATAGA